ACCTACTTTCCAGGTTATTTTACTGCAGTCATTGGGCAATTCTGGATGGACTCCACTGAGTACATTTTTTTAACATTCTTTTTACCAGTAAAATAAAATAGAAGATTTTATAGCCTTGATGTGTTTCTGGCACATTTTTAAAACTGCTGCTAATAAAACTTTTCCAAGATGAAACAAGAGGAAAAAATGACCAAGTTGTAGCAATGTAAATATCTCATGACTTTTTTTTTTCTTTTGTAAAGTTGGGCTTTTATGCAGGAAACTGGGAAACATCACAGAAAAAGATTGTGTTAAGAGAAGAAAATCCATGTAAGCACAATTTATGGAGAGGAACAGTATCATGTTTCTAGCAGCCCATGTCAAATGTAGTTTGGAAGAATCACGTTTTCATGCACACCAAGGACTTGCTCCTTCTGACCACTGAAGTCAGTGACAATTCACCAAATTACTTTAGTGATGCATAAGCTGGCCCCTAAAGCAGCAGACTGGCTTGCACGTATGGCACTGGGCAGAGAGCCAAGAGATCTGAGTTCAGTTCCTAGCTCGATACAAACTCCCTGTGCGATTTCTGTCCAGTCTCCCTAGGCCTCAACTTCTCATCCATGAAGAGGGCTGATCTGTCTTTGCTTCTGCTCTCAGTTCTCTCAACAGTCATAGTCTCTCTCCTGGCATGCCAATGCCTTTGGTTTTCGGGTGTTTTTTAGGTGCAGTTGTGATTGAACAAGGAATGACTAATGCACACCCTTAATCATCACAACTCTACCATCATACAGCACTGCAGTAAGTCTTGCAACACTGCCCTACCCAGTTCTGCAGCAGATAAAGCTTGCCAAGTGTACAGCAAGTACTTAAAAATGTGCCTTAAGCACCAAACTCATCTGCAGTAGGCTGACCTATGTATACAATGCTGCCTTTTATGTGCATCATAAATAACAAAGTGCATGAGCTGGTTGATTTTCAAGGATCACCTCCTCCATGCTTGAAGATAGTGAGTCCTGATGAGCAGGAAGTCAGGCAAGCGTACCAAGAGACCTGCATGGATGAACAAGGAGCTCCTGACAGTATTCCTCCTATAGTTTCAATGCACTTTTAAACTCCTGAGATCAGAGCCAGTGTATGAACTACAATGTTGTTAGTTATTTTACTCTATCAGGGAACATTTTTAACGTTAATGCTCTTTCACTAAATTGACCACGAGAGGGCACCAGTACTGCTTTAAAAAAAAAAAAAAAGGAGAGCGAGACAAAACCAAGTAGCTAAATAAATAAATTAATGTGAATTTGCTTACAAACTGTATAGCTTCAAAGGCATAGAATAGCAGGTTCCACGGTCATGAGTCACCCACCCACAGAAAGCCGAAGTGTCAGGCAACTACGTGGGTGCACTGCAGCGGGGAGAAAATCACCCAACTACCTAGGGCCAAGAGAGCTGGTGGTTTTTCTGCTTCCCCTACAAGACTCCCTTTACTTACAGATCCCCTTTCCGTTGGGTGGATGGGTGAAAGGTTACCCATCTTTTTGTATCAGTGTTGTCCAGAGCCTCCCTCTGCAGCATCTCAGGCCTCCCGGACAGGAGCCATAGTTATCTTCGCTGCTCCTCCTGGGAGGCTCATTCCCTTCTCTCTCAGCAGAGAAAGGCTTTTCATTCCTGAAAGCCAGATGAGCAGCAATGTCTGAAACCACATGATTTCAGCCCAGCAAGCCCTAGCAATGGGTTTGCTCATTTCACAGTCTTTTCAATGCATACTATCTATGAGGGGGGACTGAATGATAACTCACAGAACTAAAAGAATGAACAGCTATAGCTCAAGCTGAACAGCTGAGGTCCAAGACTGGGAGAGTTGTTTTTTCCACAAAGACATCACCATAAGGAAAAGACATCACCTTAAGGAATTCCTCTAGACACAAGAGGAAAGAAAAAGCATATTATTTTTTAAGACTACATCCTGAATATCTGATTCAAAATTATGCCACGTAAAAACAAAACCCTCGGCCTCACAAAATCTCCCAGCAAGATCTCCCTGCCAAATATCATCTAGGATACAGACATTTGCATCAAGAGAAAAATGTCTACAAATACCCTATTCAAGACCAAGTACAATTATGTATGAATGTATAGATCACTCGCAAAGCTAATTTTGCTTACAAAGGAAAATACCTCATTGCTAAAAGATTCGTATGGTTAAGCTAAAACTTTTCCTGCAGCATTGACTGTGAATACAAAAGGATTGTTCCTTTTTGTTTTGGCTGTAAGTGAACAAAATGCTGTTTTCAACTAGATGTTTCTCCCGAGTTTTTGTGACAGTTGGATTAATTGTATGCAATTATTCCATGAAAGTAAATTTATTCTGAATGCCCTGGTAAATTTCTGGCAGTTCAGAGGAATCTCCCAGTTGCAACACATCCATTGCGAAGAACACCAGGTAAGCCAGAAATGGGAGAAAATTAAAATAACTCAATCTATAATCAGGGTAGAAGGTAATACAGCTGCTAGAGAACAAGAGAGTCAAAAGGGTGTTTTACAGTATCAGCTTTACAGTCTAAACTTGATGAACGTGTTTGCACTATTCAAATAGCTGTTTCTTCTACTATATTTGTCAAGGTATGTGTCAGAAAAACAGAGCCATGAAGAATTCCAAAAAGCATGTATTAATTTGAAAAGAAAGTTAATTGATAAAATATTCCATAATGAACTGTGCGCAAAATAAGACTATTTTCTTCAATACAGGGTGTTGTAAAATCATGTTTGTTTAAAAATGTGTTTCTTGTGCTTGAGCAATTCTTAAAATACTGAAATACTTTCTAATACGGTTATCAGGCCAAAGAGTGAAAAGATATACTGATTTTGATTCAACTGTTATTCCTAGCTCCAAATGAGTTACCCAAAATACGAATCAGATAGTTACAAATGTCTAAAACTGCAATAAACACCCTAAAATGTTATTAAAGCTTTGCTCTAACTTTGGAACAGAAATATCAGCACCCCTGCAAAAGCATACAGTCCTATTCCCATAGGGTTAATGCCTCAGCTACAGAAACCAATGATATACCTCGCAGAACACATTTTCTGTTCTCCTTGCTTCTTTTCACAGGACTGTCAATCATTGCTAACAAGAATATGAAGGGTAACGCTGAATTTAAACTAACTTACCAACTAGGCTGAAGAGCTAGATTTGGCTGTCAATGTCTAAATAAAATCACATGTATTTGCAACCTTTTATATTAATTTATAGAGTATTTAAACCCTGTGATTTTTTTGAACGGTTGTAGTCTGCTCTTTCCGCCTACCCCCTTGCAATCTAAATGTTCACATTAGAAATGCAGAGGTGAAGATTCTTTTAATCCAAGGCAAAGGGCCTTTGATGTTGAAGCAGATACATTTTCCCAAACTAGTTGTGCAGTTCCTGCGTTAATTAGGACATATGGAATGCTCTTTAATAAGCGCAAAAGAATGAGAGGTCTCTGAGGTCATACATTTATTACATGTTCTGAAAAGTAGTTCCTTCACCTTTTGTTTTTAGCCAAACTTGCTGTTTCATTTTGGTCAGGACCCAATCTATAAGCAACACAGGTACTACACAGGCTGTTTGGATCTGGTATCACAGATCACTAGAGGCTTGACCTACAGTCCAGGGAAGTCAATGCAGATTCCCACCAGGCTTTGCCACAGGTCCTAAATTTTTACATGCAGGAGACAGATGCTACAAAATCATGGTAAAAAGTAAGTCAGAAATAAACTGTTGCTTAGTTCTGTTTAGCCAGTGTCTCCCATTACTGACATCTCCTAACAGAAGGTGAAGGAGCACACAGTGGGCTCACCACAGGTCACCTGATTCTGAAGGTGGTTTTTCCACCCTCATTCTGTCACTTGCCCCAGGGCTGTGCAAGAGGAGCTGATGAGAAGAGATGCTGTGTAAAATGCAGTCCCCTTCTTGCATATTGCAGAAGGACGGCAGCAAGGCTGCTTTTGTACAGGCAGGCAAGGATGTGGTATTTTCAGACCTTAATTTACCTGCTCTTGGGAGGCTGTTAAATGCTGTGTTGCACATAAACAGTCCAACTGATTGTTGGTTGGCTTAGTGTACATGTCCAATCCTGTAATGCAAGTTTGCTTTTCAAAGCTCCAGATGTATTTACCTTTTATACAATGCTCCAATGCAAAATATGATTATTTTTCATAAGATATTTGTTCTACTTTTCCTCATTTTCTAACCCCATCTTCAAATTCACCAACAGAGGCTCAGAAATGTAAAACAGACCCTTTGGGAACTGTATAAATTTGGGGGAAATAGTGTTGTTCTACAAAGTCTTTCTGAAACTTTAAGATGGTTAAAATTGGTCATCCCACCAATAGTTTAACCTGATTTAGCAGTTAAAAATATAGTGCATACATAGTAGCATTTTAAATTGATGCTGGAACTGGATAAAGGGACATCATCAAGATAAAACTGTAGTTATTAAAACACCAACAATTGCAAGTATTAATTTTCCTTCCCAACTTCCACAAGGTTTGCTTCCATTACCTATTTAGGTGGCAAGATGCTAGCAGCATACTCACTTTCATTTCTTGCTCCCACTCATAATCAGTTTGCAGGGTTTTATTTACTGACACTGGTGGCACAGTTTGAAATCCAGAACAAAATAGCTACCAACAAAGAGACTTTTAGAATATAGTAAAGATAAATAACATTATGGAAAATATGCAAGGAGTGCTTCTAATAGTTACAGTTTCGCACTTCATTCTTCTCTCATTTTCATCACCCTGCCAGAAGCTTAACTGCATCTTCCACTTAGCCAAAGCACTGCTTTTAGCCTTCAATGAAAATCATACCCATTCAGCAGAAAAAAATAAGCTTTTCCCTTTTGATCACCCTAAGCCTCCTTTGTAGAGTGGCAATACTTGACAATGCTCTTCTATTTTATCAGGTGGGAACTTGCAGACAACACTTTGCAGTGATCAAATTAACAGCGATGAAGACTTACATTTTGAGAATATGGTATATGCTTGTGCCGATAATACGGCTGAATACAGCTGAGGATTTCCAGTGGACAAAGAATAATCCTGGCTCTTTCTATTATGGCACTTTTCCAGCTGGTACTTTTGAATTACAGTTAATTGTGCGTTTTATAATGCTCTAGATCTACATATGTTTGCACAAGCAAGCTACCAAAAGGTTTTCCTTGTCCTTCTACGGAAATGGCAGAAACAAAAATTCAGGCTCTTGCAGAATGAATACCTAATATCATCTTCTGCACCTAGCTCTGGATATATAAGGATTCACATAACCCTGCACACTTCATATGGTCACTTAAAACAGTAATCTCAGAGTAAATGCTAATAGATTAATATTTCACATCTAGATCTCCCTTTCCTGTCTGTGATTGAATAAGATGCACAGTATAACAAATCACATCTGAGAACTCTTTTTTCATAAATTATCTACAACTAATGAAGAATTATAAACTAAAAATATTCTTTGTTATGCAGCTAACTTAAGAAATGAACATGAGTGAAATAATTGTGCTGGGTTTGTTTCAAGCTGTTTAGTATCATCTAATTCACTCTTCAGTAATACTTCATGAAACCTTGTCCCTTCTTCAGCATATATTTATACACGCTCACACATTTCATTCAACAAAAATTAAAACTAAAAAGATATAGACACTGATTTCTTTTCATGCTCAAGTTTTTAAGTGGCTTGTGAAACGGGTTAATCATGTCCTTTTGTATAATACTAGGAAAATAATCCAGAATCTTTCTATGTATTTTACATAACAATAGCTAAACTTGTAGTTGCTAAAAAAACCATAAAAACCAGCAGGCAGAAATGATGTGGGAACCTGATTTTTTCTTACAGTAAGACATTTCTGCCATGCTATCAACGCACTGCCTCATCACTGTAAAATAATGGTAATGAGGCTTAATATATGAAAGAATTAGATCCCCTTTTCAGTGCATCAGAAAAGGATACCTTTAGTCTATACCACATTTTCATAGTCCCTTTTTATGCACCGATAAAGTTTCATGTAGAAAACATTGGTCTCTTGTTCAGTAGGCATGCAGTCATGCACATTTCACATCAAGCTATGCAGCTGTGAAGGTGTATCAATTACTTTCTCATATGAAAATTTAGTATGAAGACTGGTTTTGCAGGAAAATGTTTAAATTTTAACTCACTTCTTTTTACCTTTAGGTTTTTTATGGGGTGTTGGAAGTTCGGCATACCAGACTGAAGGGGCCTGGGACAAGGATGGGAAAGGACCAAGTATCTGGGATGCTTTTACTCACAAAAAAGGGAAAGTGTTTAGAAATGAAACAGGAGATTCAGCATGTGATGGCTACTACAAAGTTAAGGTACCATTAAAGAGGAACTATCCCTCTAGAAACATTCTGGAGCCATTTCATGATACTGATTTCCCATTTTGAAATAACAGTAAAGATGAAATGCTTCAGTTGCTCTATAGGCTTATTTAACATAGGAAGCCAAGGGATGGTATTATTAATGAGCTCATTAAAATCCTCTTTCCTAATAATCTTATAGAATCAATAATACCACAGTACTTCCCAAACACGTCTCAGTTTTTCAGGATTTTTGTGTCCAAAGAAATATTCTAGATTTTGTGGGAAGTCTAAATGCTTAGGTAGAACAACAACAATGAAGACATTTGAACTTTGAATAAAATTAACATCTTTTTGTGCGTGTTTGAGCAGCTTTAAAGGTTTTCTATGTATATTTTAAGAATAATAAAACTATCAGCTGCTTTAAAAGTCAGTCTGAACGTTTTCAATTTTTTTTGAATGGATAACAAATAAATAATCAATGCAGCTCTATTAGCAATATGTTTCCAAGCTTAAAACTATCAAAACCAATTTTAGAATTACTGTCCTGGAGAAAAGACAGATAGACAGCAAGAAGAATCCAAATGACTGTGATAAACCAATATTACATAATTGGAATTCCAACTTATTAGATAAAAGTTATATTCCACTGAGGTTTTTCCACATACATGAAATCCAAGGGAGAACTAGAGGTCTCAGCAAGAACTAAGAGGAAAGAAACTAATATGCCTTACTATCCTAAAATGGGAAAATGCAGGACAAATTTAATTTGATCTCTCTCAAACAAGTCAAAGCTTGAAAAAACAGCTTAATAAAAACCTATAGAGAGGTTGGAACTCTGAGGCTCATGGGGCTGTTGCATTAGAAGAGATTGACATGATGATCACATGACCTATTTTTCAGAGAGGATTCAGGTACAAATGATAGCATTTCAACATTTACTCATTACTGTGGGCTTGTGTTTTGAGATACTTTCTAAAACTTGATTGTATGTGTTCAGTTAGATGGTCCTCTTCACATAAAAGCACTCTCTCTATTTGCTTTCATCAGCAGAATTCTCTTTGCATTGGCTCATATACCATCAATTTCAAATTTCGTGCAATATTGAAGATGCACGATTTCTTAGGAAAAGAACACGTATTTATACCGAGTTTATTCTTTGTGCTAACTCCAGAATGAGACGGTAAATGAAAGCCTGCATAATCATGTTTTTGTGCCTACGCTGAAATGTTTGAGGCCAAGATTTACAGGCTTATGTTATTTTTTAAAACATGCCCATTACAAATTCTGACATAAATATAACTGTTGCAGAATACCTCAACTCATTTTTCTGTCCTCTACTTGATGGTGAAAACATTCAGTTTCCATAGCTGTTAACACAAAACATTACAGGACTTCTTTAGAGAGCCAAGAAAAAAAAATGGTTAAAAGGAAGTATACAAGTAGAAAGAGCCATCATCTCAGAGCAAATGCAGAAAATAACTGATAGAATCCTCTTTTGTGCAACTCTTCTATAGATTTTCTGCATTCAGTACTATTTAAGACAGATGAGTAACTGAAGAGTTATTCTGCTTGGACTTGAGATATGTTAGTTGGATTTTCTTTTCACAGGATGACATTCAGTTACTGAAGGAGCTGAAAGTTAATCACTATCTATTCTCTATCTCATGGCCTCGGATTATGCCCACTGGCATCAAAAGTAAGCATAACATTTCACCATATTCTTACCAGTATAGGTAGGCAAGTAATTTTACTCATGAGTATACCATAGTTTAACATTACTGTTAAATAGAGTTCTGTTTCTTTATCTCCAGAACAGAGTTTAACCATTACACATCCATTACAGTACACCCATCATTGTGATGTAAAATTATTTGGTTAAAGTTTTAGATTTCTATTCTTACAGTTATTTGAAAAACAACCCAGGTAATTTTTTGTCTCTGCATTTCATCAGCAGAGCAATTGAATGAGAAGGGAATACAGTTCTACAATGATACAATTAATAGTCTTCTGGAAAACAATATTACCCCTATCGTGAGCCTCTACCACTGGGATCTTCCACAGGTTAGACAATATTTAAATTAGTGAAATGTCTTATACAAATGCTTCTGATAGAAATAAATCTCCTAAGTTTAATGACTATGTGTACTTTAGAAAAATGTTTAAAGATGCCTGCATGCTTTTAAGTGTCCTTATAATTATTTTCTATTTGTGTTATATACAATGCAGTTTATATACATTGAAGTTTCAAAAAAACTCCTTCTGAGCTACTGAAATATAAATAAAAGTCTTTCTTAATAGGCAGCTGACCTTTAAATAACATTATTGATTCTTCAAATTCTTATTTATGAAGGTTCTCCAAGAAAAGTACGGTGGCTGGCAAAATATAAGCATGATAAATTATTTTAACGATTATGCAAATCTGTGTTTTGAGAAGTTTGGCGATCGCGTGAAACATTGGATTACTTTTAGTAATCCTTGGGTAAGTTATCAATGCTTTCTTTCCAGTCACTCCCATTAGAGTTCTGTTACCAAAATTCTGTGGAAGTGATACTACAGGGAAGTAGGTTAAAAATTGGAGAGGGAGAGGGAAAGGGAGAGAGTTATGCCATTAATCTTTGTGCCCAAAAATCTCAGTGGCCAGATTCCACGCAAGTGCAGAGTTTTAAGATGTGAAATTCCAGTGAAGTTTTGAAAAATCATCAGCTGGAGAGGCAAGAGGCACAGAAATCAGAAAGGCAGTTACAACTTGCCCTTCATGTGTTTCATGAGGGAACAGCAAGCTGGCCAGTCAGTCCACTAATGTTAGTCACCAACACATTGCTTCCAACAAGCCATGGCATATTATCAACCAAAGAGCAGGGTAGTAGATGGGAGCCAAGAGGAGGGGAAGGAAAAAGGGGACTAGAGAGGATCGAGAGATTGAGACAGACCATGCAGAAGAGCACAGGATCCAAGTCCGTAGGATGGCAGCAAATGCATTAGCTCTGCTGTTCAGAGAATAACTAACTGTATGTATGTTTGTAGGCAGTTGCTGAAAAGGGTTATGAAACAGGAGAACATGCACCAGGACTGAAGCTCGGTGGATGTGGAGCATACAAAGCAGCACACCATATAATTAAAGTAAAACTAAAATTGTGCTTTAAATTATGTGTGAATTAAGAATATTTAGCAGACTGATTAAGTTTTTTTGGATTCTGCTCTTTAAACAGAAATAAAGCTTTGCAACAATGTCATTTCCAACTAGCACTTTGAAATTATCACCTGGTTTTAAACTACCAATGCATATTCAGGTGTAGCATGAAATTCTAGGTGCTTGATGTGACACTGTTGCAACAACTTAAATTTGTCCCTATAATTTAAGTGTCTCTTACAGTATGAACTGGTTGAATAAGAAAATATTCAGGTTACTCTAGAAACAAGGAGTAAAATCCTGACCTGTTGAAATGAACTTGAATTTTTCAAGTGACTTCAGTAAGGCTAGCTGTCATAAAAGTAAACTTTCACTTGCCTGAATAAATTAGGCAAAGACATTCAAAGACTGGAGACACCAGACAGAACACTATACTGAATGCTGCGTATTACCTTCATGGGAACCTCCCAGAATTTAGGGAAGGAATCTTGCATAAATGTTTTTTTGACATCTTATGCGAAATGAAAGCTTCCATAATATACATAAAGAAATTAAGTGATATTTTCAGACACACCTTAGTGCAAAAACTGCTCTTGATCTTCACTAGTTTTCTATACTGACCATAGCATAACAGATTAAAATGTGCATATAATTTTTTTTTTTAAACTTACAGACTCATGCAAAGGTATGGCACTCTTACAATAACACATGGCGTAGTGAGCAGCAAGGTAATAAGGATTCATTCTGTAATTATGCTTCTATTTATATTAAGGACTTAAAGATTATGCATAAACTGCAGAATTGTCACTTTGTGTTTTAAGGTATGGTTGGAATTTCCCTAACTAGTGGCTGGGGTGAACCTGTTGATCCACACAGCCAAACAGATAGAGACGCTGCTGAAAGATATATACAGTTTCATCTGGGATGGTTTGCAAATCCAATTTACAGAGGAGACTATCCAGAAATTATGAAGAATTATGTAGGTAAGCCCCAGGAACTGACTATAACATGAATAAATTACACACAGAATATTACAACAGAATAGCCCCTGACCAACATGTAGTTTAGTCAAATACGAGGACACAGGTGAGACAAGGCTAAGCAATGAAGGGCCCATGGGGCTAGACACAGCTCCTGAGCAACTGGGGACATACTAGAACTAAAAAGTTGAGCTGCTGTTGAGCCCAACAGTTGCACATCTGAGTGCTCCAAACTGGAAAGGAAACAACTACCTCACTTTTCAGTCATAGTCCATTTTTAGTGGCCTAACCAAGACAGGGAGTTGTTAAGTATTTTTCTGGATTTTCCACCTAAGGACAAAGAACCAGCAGTTTTTCATCACTAAAGCTTGCATTTCTACAGGGTTCCACTATCTTTGTTTCACAGAATGAAGAAGATAGGCAATGTATCCAGCAGCAAAGCACTTCTGTTCCTGTCATGTTATGTTTCCAAGCTCTCTTTGGACATTTATGATACTCTTTGGAAAAAAAACTTTAATTCACTCTATTCTCCATGTATGGTACCCAACTTATTGTACCCAACTTACTTCTCCAAACTAAAAGGATGAAAGATTATTTCATCTTAAAAGCAAACAAACTAAACTGTCCTCTATGCTAACTTCAGGAAAACCATATTTATTGTTGGTGAGGGAAAGAAAACAAGCTTCTATGCTCCTCAGAAGTATGTTTCCTATAATTATTTTGATAGGTAGGAAGAGTGCCCAGCAGGGCCTGGGGACATCAAGATTACCAACTTTCTCAGTGCAAGAGAAAACCTATATTAAAGGCACATCGGATTTCCTGGGAATAGGTCATTTTACTACTCGTTATGTTCTACAGAAGAGCTTTCCCTTTCTACAAGTGTCCAGTTACCACACTGACCATGATTTGGCTGAACTGGTGGACCCAAAATGGCCAGCTCCAGGACCAAAATGGTTATATTCTGTGCCATGGGGATTCAGAAGATTACTCAACTTCATTAAGGTGATTACAGAGTAAATCTTTAAAAGGAAGTAAACAAAATTGCCTGGTTAGATGCAGAAGCTGCACTTAAACTATTTTAGATTTTCAACAGTTCCATCTCTATAGTCTTGTCATACTGGAAAGTTTCTTTGCCAAAAAACCCACCTTAATTTCAGTTCAGAAGACTATAGAATTCAGTAATTTTAAAATAAAAAACATAGTTAAATTCCTAGTTATACATTTTTCTTACTAAAGGTAACTTTAAGTAAATCTAGAAAATTGCTTTTAATACATTTTACTAAGAATCTCCTGTTCTGTCAAAATAAGATGATTTTGTTTACATGAACCAGTCCAAACATCTCTTTGTTTGCAGACACAGTATGGGAACCCTCTCATTTATGTGACAGAGAATGGAGTTTCTGAAAAGGTACAGTGTACTCAACTGTGTGATGAATGGCGGATAGAGTATCTGAAAGGATATATTAATGAAATACTGAAAGGTAACTTTAAAAAACATTTTTTTAGTGCATGAGCTTTTTGAGCATTTTCACCTTCTGATTATTTTTTACTCTTGTAATTTACATCATAGAGAAATAAATATTCACCAATCAAAATGAACAGCAAACTAGGCTAATAAATTTTCACAAAAATGACAACCTAGCCAAACTTACTGATCCTAATAAATACAGTAACCTACATGAGATTTAATACTGTAATAATCATCAGTTTCCACTTTTAGAAAGGAGAAATTGCACCGAATTACCATTCTTATAAAGCTCTAGTACCTCTAAGCTAAAAATAACATTGCCAAAGGATCCTAATTACTTTATACTTTGCCATTTTTCTGTCCTCATCCCCCCTCCCATTTCTTTCTGGTATAAAACAAAATACCTACAGAACCATATTTTAAGGACGATAAACATAGGCAACACGCTTAACAGAATAATTTATATTCTGTTTACAGCTCTAAACGATGGTGTTAATGTCAAAGGTTATACTGCCTGGTCACTGCTGGATAAATTTGAATGGAACAAAGGCTTCTCTGAAAGATTTGGATTTTATCACATTGATTTTAAAAATAAGAACAAACCACGATACCCAAAGGCATCTGCTGACTATTATAAAAAGATTATCAGCGCAAATGGATTCCCAAATCAAAGAGAGGTGATGTCAGTTGCTGATTTTATTCTTTTTTCTTCCGATATATAGGCAAATATCACATTGAATTTCATGAAACAACCTGCATGAATACAGTAGTTGAAACGACACTTTGGTTCTGTAAATTAGGGATGTGTTAAATACACAGGCCTCCAGAGACAGAGAAAGTGGAAATGGCCTCAACTACTGTTTCTAAAGCATTTCATGAAATCTAATTGGTCTTACTGATGTGATCAAAAATTCTGAATCAGAAGTTACCAGTCCTCTGTCACATTTCTAGGCAGAAAATTACACATATGTGCTACCTTATTGGAAAATAACATGGAATATATTATGTGCTTTTTAAACTTTTATTAAACAATTAACTATAAAAAAATATATTGCAATAAAAATCACAAAGACACAAAGAAACTTTCAGAAAATTATGTGTTGACAGAATAAAATAGTTAAGTCAATTGTAGTGGACAAATGTTCAGGGGCAGAGAATAAGCTGCTGTGAATGAGACAGAATATTACAGTCTAGTAGAACTGCTATATGTCAACCTTCTCAGGTGGAAAATTGGTATCAGAAGGCCATGGACACTTGCTCTACCACACACCAACTCCTTGCTACAGGTAATTATGTGTCTTCTGTTTTGTTTTATAAAAGCATGTTATGTAACTTTCAGATTTTATATTTCTCTGAATACTACTACTAGCAGGTCCTAAAAGGTATTTTCTCCCTGGAAGCACAACAGCTTTCATATACAACAAGCCCCTAAAGAAAAATGTCTTTATTTACTCTCTCTAACTAAAATCACTGTAGCTAAATGGATCAACTTTGGATGTTAGTGGAATACACAAACTGAAAGAATTAGGATTTAAAATTAAGGCTAGGGATGACAGTATTCTCCTTAAAATAATGAAAGGGCTAAATGCTCTTTCAAACATAAAACAAACCCAGACAAATCAAGACAACCATGCAGACAGAAAATCTGTAAATGTTTGACTTTTACATAAAAGGAAACTATTAAAAAAAATGGGCTAAGTACTAGCCTAAGGTAGTGTTAAGCCACGTTTCTGCTTTCATACTCCTGGTAACAAAGCTCACAACAGCACAACTTAGAGCAGCTACTCAAGAATACATAATACAGACGGCTTTGCCTGCAGTTTCCACAGTGCCAGCCTAATCCATCTCACTTAAGAACTTCCCAGTGTAATTCAGGACCCTTCATAATTCCTGAACTAGGAGAATAGTCTACCGCAGTGGATTTCTGAAACTTTTAAGAAAGATGAAATAAGTATTATAAAGCCTCATAAGAAGGATGAGATAAATTCCATATTGTAGAAAACGTCAAAGCAGTCATCCTAAGTTTACCCTACTTAGCTTCAACTGCCAAGTTATATGTTCCATGTGAATTAACTGTGTTTACTGAACTCTTTGAGGCTTATCTGTGGAATAAAATTCTACAGAATAAAACCCATTTAATTTTCAAAGAGCTACAAAACAATCATAAAAAGGCTAAAGTGCTTCCCAAGGATTTCTCTTTGACAGTTTTCTTTTCTACCCTTCCCTTGGGGTGGGAGGAATAAAAATCAAAGGAACAGTAGAATACTGCTAATGCACTGAAGCTAATTCATAATAACACAATTTTTGCAGCCCTTTGAGCACTGACATATCTTAAAAAAATTTACATTAGAAAGGAAAAAAGAAAGAGAAGGAAAACTGTCATGGATTTGCTCCAGCTTTTGCAGACTTACGAAATTTTTTGTGTGCTGTTTATGCCAATACCAACATTTAAAAAAATAATTTTAGCCATAAATCTTAAAAAATCCTTAATCTATGTTAACTTTAAGTTAACAATTAGTATACTCCAGAAGACTGAATTTCTTACATATTACTCATTTCTCAAATTTTAGATTCCCTGATTACTCACATGGAAATGGTGACAGAGATTGTTCTTCCTACAGTTTTCACGCTCTGCATACTCATCAGTATTGTCCTACTAATATTCTACCTTCGAAATCATAGTTAAAATTGCAAGCTTACACATATCTTCATTTTGCATAATAAATAAAATGCAATTGCTTTGTTATATTAGTTAACCACAGATGCCCCTTTTTACACCACTGTAAAGAAATATTACTTTACCTATCCACCTAGCACTTTTATAGTTTTTCCTATTCAATTGCCAAAACATAATTTAATTTTTTTTAATCAAAACCCGAAGTACATTTTCTTTCTGCATTACTTTCTACTAATTTTAAGTAGCAGATTTTATGTTTCTTCTTATTTTGGAAAATACTATACATTTTGTTCACCAGAAAAATAGTTAGCTAAGATTAAAGTGATTCAAATCTTGACAGTACAAATTTCAAGTGATTAAAAGCTGCTTGCAAATGCTGGTTTCAGTCTGTTCATCAATAGTCTTTTAATTAGCATGTAACTGCTATTTGAAGAGAGACAGACACATAATTTTAAAATAGAAAAGGACTGAAATATTCCAAGAGCACTGCTTAAACATTACTTTATTATTCATGTCTAAAAGTTAGGATAATATACATCTTATTATTCAGGTGTGGAGAAAAATTACTTGAAGTGATTAATCAAAGATGACAACTGCTGGGTCAGATTTAAACCAAGGACTCCTATCTCTCTAGTTTTGTTTACAGGGAACGAGGTTTGCCTCATATAACTTTATAATATATTACACACAGAAATGTGTATTGTAAGTAATCCAAGCACTTCCAGAATGTAATATTCCACCTCAGATTCACTTCTACTGCAGGTAGGAACAAGTTAAGTACATGATTAAAAATTTGTTCCAGAATACGGACATCTGGCTATGTTTGTCCTCCTGTTGTGCTTGAAATTATTCCTCTGAAGCAAAGCAACAAACAAGTTTCCTATTTAGCTTGCACTATATTTTCAGCACGGCATGTGCATATACTGAATGCAGAGTAGCAGTACATAAATCCAAAAAAGGACCTTGGCTTCTCTTCAAAGGCTAACTATTAAACTGATAGTTATTAAGATGTAATATTAGGAAAGAGATAAGAAATAAGATTTACTGAGGAGAAACCAGAAATAATAGAAAGTTATAGTTTTTTAAAAGCATGAATATTGGGGGTTTCCTTATTCTTATCAATAGTTAATAGTTTTTTATGCAGAACGTTTGTCTCAAATTATTTAATCAGCATATACTACACTATGTAATTGTTTAAAATTACACTACCAAGATGTTACATACACTATCTAATCAACATAAGAACATATGCAACTGTCATCCCAACATATTTAAATGATTATGCCCAGCCAATTATATTGAACATTTTTTTTCCAAGAAAATTATGCAAAAGCATACAAGACAACACTGTTAAAATAATTCACTTTGCACTGAGAGAAAAAATGAATCTGAAGAAGAGAGAGAAGTATATGCAAGAATATTCCAAAACATAAACATGGAGGCAAAGAAAATCAAATTGTCAGATATTCACAATGTCCTGGATGAACAGCTTTCCAAATATATCTGGATGATGAAATGTCACTTGACAACCAGGAAAACATTACAGTATTGCTTGTTTTGTTGGGTTAAGCTAATTCACATTTTGAACAGTGTCTGATTGCATTCTTAATGAATAAAAATAAAATTTAAAACCCCAAAGTGCAGTACTTTATTGAATGTTTGTAAATACACAAACAAAAATATCTACTATATTTTCAAAATAATTATACTGTACATTCATAATTGCACAACATTTATAAACAAACTAGATGCGTACACATGAATTATGGCTGTGTACGTCACACTTCAAGCACACTAAAGCAAATAACTAGGTAAGATGTACTGTTCTTCAAATCATACAGCATTTCTAAATATACTGTTGGAACACAGATAATACTCAACTTTCCCCTTTACTGTACCTTTCAAGTGCCTGCCTGTAAAGTAACATGCATTTATGTGAAATGCACCTGACTGCACTTAGCCATTGTAATAAAATACATTCTTTCTTCACTGCTTCCATTAACTGTAGAATCAGAAAAGAGACCTGCATAGACAAAAGAAGATGTGATTAGTCACTGTTCTTGGAAAGAGAAATTGTAGAGATTAGTTCACGTAACAGCTTCAAGAACTGGTTTCAAAACTTCAGTTTTACTGAAAGGAGCACTTCATGACAAAAACTGAGAATGACAGGAAAGCTTTACCAAAGCATCACACCTCATGCCAAAAAGGCAAATTATTTCTATACTCAGTCTTTATGCTTAATTCTTCCCCATTCTCATGCTTTTTCACTTGTTCTACATTTGATTGCAGCAAGGCATGTCTTCTCACCTTAGCACCTGCTTGCTTCTCTGACTAGAGACCAGCATTCAGTAACAGGTAAATTTCTCTTCAAACCCATTCTCAGACACACTGGCAAAGATTTTAGAAATAAGTTATAAGGTATTCTGTAGACTATTTAACAGTCATTTCATATTTGGAACTATTCTGTCATTTTAACTCTAAAAACCTAACTCAAAGGTGAGAAGGCGGAAAGTCACCACTTTGTGAAAATCTTTGACATTCTATGAATACCATCTCACCCTTTTAATAAAAACCAAAGCATTGTTTTGCTTTTGCTGAAGATACAAGAAAGTTCAGATCCACTGAACCCAGTATAAAAACTGAATTTATTAGAACTGTGTACTTCCATTATTTCACGTCACCACAAATATTCCTTACCTGTATTGTTTGATGTCATATGTTTAACTGGAGGATTAGTACTAACTTGCCATGTTGTTTTAACCTCCTTCTGTCCATGCCCACTACTTATGTCCACCTTCCATATTTCTGGGTGATCACTGATAGAATAAACAAGAAATGTCAAAATTCAGTCAGGTGTTCAGTGACATCTGAATTTTAGTGCTGCAAAGATTGAAGATTCTCTTACTTTTGATAGAACTTCTTGACAAGTGCTGGTCTGATTGGCAGTTGAAACACATGCTTCTCATTTAGAGGATTTTCCTTATAATACTTCATGCAAATTCTACAAAAAGAAACAACTAGTTACTAACTTTCTTTGGAGAAATGCTTGTGCAATACTGCATAAACTTTGTGCAAAATTAACTATGCTTTCATATTTTATGATTTCCTTTGGTTTTTAATTTTAGTCACAAAGCAAAATTTAGCAGGAAGATCCAACTGCTAATTCTGCAGTCCCACTATCATCAACATTAGGGAGAACTGGTTTGTTTGTTTGTTTGTTTTTAAGAGTTTCTTTACAACTGTCAAAGAGAATCTACTTGTTATTGTAATTTGAAGAGCAAGAAGTAAAAATGAAATATTACTGTGTCAAAGGGAAGAGGTTCTCATGTTTAAACTGAAGTAAGACTGTGCAGCTGACCATTATTTCCAGCATATGGTGAAGCTTTTGAACACGATGAACTTGTTCTTGTAGATCTACTGATGTGGAAATGAAGTAATCCTGGAACAGCAAACAGCTTCTGCTCTTAACTAGACACTCAGTTTCTACAGACACACAACACATCCTCAGTATACTAAAATAATTTTCCCATTTCTTTTGAGAAGCCAAAATTTTAATGACCCAGCAGAGTCAGAACAAAGTATGAACAAAGATTCACTGTCCTGCCTGACAGTGACCCATATCAGATACCTAGGAAATAATATACGAATAGGGAAACAACATAATGACATTTCTGCAGTATATTGTTCCATCCTCACGATTTGCAATTCAGTTTCTCAGCTTATAGGAATGATATGACTTGCCTCCCACCATCAGCTAAGTGTCCTCTACTTTATACTGCTTTCAGAAGTGGAAAAAAACCCCCAACCAAACAAAAAGAAAACCAAAACCAAACCACAAAAACCCCCACATCTCACCAAGTAGGTTAATGTTGCAAGTTCCTGGCCTGTGAAATGAACGGGGGAGGGGGGGGGGAAATAATTAAAATTTACTACATAGTGTCAGATGAAATATAAGCAACATTCAGGTAATCAAACAGGAAATTCTACTAAAGAAAAGCACAAAGTCACTAGGACAGTGATGTTATTTATTGACATGATTACTCATTCAAAAAGAGAAAAAAAACCCCGTAAAGTGGCATGGTAGAGGCATTATTTTATTTATTACCAAGGCTGCACAATGAAGAACCCTACTGCATACTTTGAGACAACCACCCTCCTTGGGACATAATAAAAAAGCAACTGAAACAAAGAATGAAAACAGGATGACAAAGCAAAAAAGAAACTAAGAGATGAAGGAAAAGGAAATGGGTAGCAACAATGGTAAAACACAAACCCCTCCTCCCACAGATTCAGAAAGAAAATAAAGCTATAATACTGAAAACAAAGCCACAACCATTTCAAGAAAAAGTGTACTTTACAAAAATCTTTCCACCCCAGCTTGTTTCCACTATAATATATAAGAATAATCAAAAATACCTTTCTAAATACTACAGACTGTACAAACACAGCTATTACATATAAATACCATTGCCTGATTTCCTTTTAAGCCATGTAGACCATAAGGAAAAAGACAGAAAGACCGTAAGGGTCTTATTTCTCTCACCTACAGCAAACTGATAAGAAAATAAAACAGTCCACAGTTATATAAATCTGGTATTTATTTTACTTGAAGTTCAACCTAAAGTCTTTTTTTCAAATTGAAAGAGAAATACATGGTTATGCAAGCTATATTTAATTTTTTTAATTCTGAAACCATATACAACTGAAAAGTAGAATTACTAAGGAGGCTGGAAACAGCACTTCAGCAGATGGGAGCAGAAGTGAGATCAAGGTTTCCAAAATCATAATTATTTTCTGCATGGAATACCTTTTCTCTTGAATTTCTAATAACGTTCACAGATACCAGACTTACCTATGAAAAAACTGACATAATCCTTCTTCATCTTATCCAAACCAATCTCCAAGAGCATTTGAATTGGAATGATGCCACTGAGGGAAACAACCTCTATCTTTCCATGATAAGACTGTTGAATCAATTTACTTAGCAAACTGCTACTCCCTTGATGAATCTAAAAATTAGAAAAGATTTCTTGTGATGTAACAGTGTACAAAACATCATAACCGTTGTTTAGAAGTACAGCACCATGGAAACAGAGGCAAACTGTGACACATGAAAGTAATTTAAAAAACAATACAACACAGAAATGAGGGGCAGTTAAGTGACAAGAACTATATTCTACTTCAAACAACTCAAAATTTTAACATTCATTGTGAAATACAAATACATACCCATGGCTGTATCTCACCATGTTCCAGAGATTTTATGACCAGTGTGAAACATTCTATCAACTCCTGATAGGAACTGACACCTTAAGAAAAAAAAATGCAATGTTTTCTTTATCAATCCAGGCTCTCTCTCTAGCTGTTAAATCATTAACAGGCCAACACATACTTGCAAGAATGAAACTCCTCATGTAAAGAATGATAGCTGAAATGACAGATTACACTGCTTTTTGTTAAGTTTGTCGTATGATGACTTTAAAAAGGATTATTCTAAAGAAACAATAATCAAGAGACCACTGAACTGCATATGACTGTTAGAGAACAGCACATGGCAGAAGCAGGTTGTCATGTAATACATTTTGGCTACATTCTCTCTATGTACACTGAAACTCAACACATTTTTTAAATTTAACTGAACAGCTTCTATCTACAATATGAACTATTAGTATCCATTTATTCAACTAACTGCTTCCTAAGCAAGAAACAAGCCTCCACACATTGTGCAGCTGACACTGCCCTGAAGCAGGATAGATTGCAGTCACCACAGTACATTTTTGCTATCTAGTTTCAATTCAAACACAACAGTGGTTGCACTAATAGGAATGAAAGGGATTTAAAAGTTGCATAACTCCATCCCTCAAACACAAAGGAGTTGTTATAATCTCTGGAACAGCTTAACAAAAGTTAATTAGTAATCTGAAAAAATAGTATTAAATAAAAATGCATTTTACTGAAGGACTGTGAGTGGTATTACAAGAATGAAAATGTTTGTATGCAGCTTTATCAACTTAAAAATTGTCGTTCAGATCTAGAAAGACAAAAATTTTATAAAGTTTTCAGTTTTAGAGCACATGAGTACTACTGATTGTTTAGTACCTTTTACAACCAAATAAAATGAAATATAGTATCTCCTGCTAGATGTTGGTCTACCTTTATATGTCATAAGAAAGTATATCATCTTACATACCTAAAATTAGCTCTTCTAGAAAAAGCCTGCTGATAATTTTCTGAAGAGCTGATCAGTCAGTCCTTAAAACTCAGAGAAATTTATATTCATCTCACTGAGAAAGCAATACAGTATAGTAGATACAGAGAATAGAATTGAGGGGGGCAAAAACCCACAATACACTTA